CAAAAGGGCCCAATACCCAGAGAATGAAACTGCCTTGGTAAGTTTTCCAGCCAGGCAGAGAAATGGCCAAACAGAAGATCCTGTACCTCAATCAGGAGCACTAGGAAGAACACCAGCAGAACTGAATGAGCCAACTTTTCTAAGAACAGAGGGTCTCACATGTTTGCATGTGTTTCTGCTCTTGGATAAATAGAGGATCCCATGGAATTGTTGACAATATCAGTCTAGCCGATCCCAGCTTGGTGGATCCCAGAGGAGAACGGACTGGGCTTGGAACCAAAGATGGATCTGAGTCCTTCAGTGTGAGATTATGAGCTTGGGGCACCCCAGATGGCCAGTAATGCTCAAAGAGGTCCTGTGGCTGTGTTGCCAGACTTACAACTCCCACATTATGCCTTTGTGGAAGTAATGCCATGAAGGAAAACTTTCATCGTTTGGGCTGCAATTTTCCATACTTGGTCTCTATCCAAAGATGAATTGGTAGTGAAAAATTGAGCAAAATCAGTTCCACTGTTTAGGAGCAGAAGGAGAATGCGGAAAAAATACACATTTCCCATCACCTTGCATAGTAGTGTGGAGGAAAAGCGGGTCAGGGGTGAGTCAATACTGTTCCACTGATTCGCTATTCCTTCTTCCAATGACACAGACAACTATAATAGTAGAGGTTACTTCAGCCTTTGACATACAGAGTGTCTCCAAAGCTGCTAGAGCCCTGGATTTTGTCTATCATACACCTACAAGAAAAGTCTGACTTTCACTGCTATTGTGTTGTGTGCCCAAGTACATCTGGGAATATGAGCTGTTAGAATCATGCAGTGACTGAGACATGCAGTCCCTTGTCCCATCAAGCATGGCCTTTTCAAACCCAATCCTGTGAAGTACTGGACAATTCCTTTAAGGTGCTGAGCTCCTTCACCTTCCATTGATTTCAAAGGCAGCTACTGTTTCTCAGCACTTTGGAAAATTGGCCTCTTAATCCATTTGCCACATTTACTTGCTAATATGTACTTAGAGGAGACCAGGTAAAACCTGCACACTTATGTCTGAGTTCACCAATACAAAGAGAGAAAAGCAGATGTATTGTATATATTCATAATAGAAACATTAAATTAAAAAATCTTATTTTTAAAATATTAATTATATTTAAAAGGGATCCATTAACACAGTAGTACCAATCTGAACACTGCAATTATGGACTGATAGCAAACTTAGCTTAAGAAACTGTTCATGATTTGATTTATAAATGTAAAAAGAGAAATAATAAAATAAAAATATAAAATAGACCTGTGGGACTTTTTTTACTCTATAATGTGCTCCCAACATTTGTATTCAAAGAAATAATCTGAACAAAGGCAGAATTTTTGCCAAACCTGTCATGCAATTTTTAGCTCCTTGCATTTTTAAGGTATCTCATTCATCATAAAACACAGTACTATATTGTTCATTTAAAAGCAGATAAGGAAAATATTGTTGAGCATAAATACATATAAGCTCATTAAAAGCCAAAAGAGAGGAGTTCAGTTTTTCTAATAGAATTTAGATAACAGTGTTGACACCTTTTCAAGATATTTCTTTCTATATTCCACAGTGGAATCTCTTGCAAAAAGCAACCAGTAGGTGGAGCAGACAACATAATTTATTACTTGATAACAAGGGCATGGAGTCTGTAGCAGGTTTCTTCATAATTATGGGAATCATGTAGGAGAAATTTTCTTCAAACAAAGGAAGCTCATATATGTTAGTTGTTACTTGTCTAGTTATTGAAGCTATTGATACATAAAGCAAGTTGATTAAAAGCTCAGTATTTCATAAGCATAGAATTTTAGAGTTCATAATTTATTTCTCCAGGCATTATTTTCCAACTAACTTAGTTTTATTCAAATGAAAAATCACTTTCTATTTTCAAACCTCCTCTTATAGCTACAAAGTTTGGGCTGTATTTGTGGTGCATGAACAACACCAGCTACACAGAGACAAAAAATAGATGTGTTTATTTTCTAAAGCTGTAAAATTTATTTGTTTTGAAGTTAGTGGGATGCATAACAAACAATTTTTAAGGAATAATGCTGATTAAGTGTGTGACAACAAATTAACGCTATTACTGCTAGTAAATATTGATTATGCAAATATGCTCAAATGTTTAGATTTCTTTCTGAAATGTGGATGTCCAGGAGATACTCTTATTTTTAAATTAATAAATTAATACATTCATAAGGTCTGTTAATTCAAGCACTGATGTATAGCTGAAGTAATCATGTATCTGTATTAAAATGTTTGTATAAATATTGTGCATACGTAGAAACATCAACAATAAATTGCTATATTATTGCAAATTCTTATGAATAAATTGAGTTCAATATTTACCAACAAATATAGTAAAATGGTAATTTTAAAATGTACTATAATAGGGTATAATTTTTTTATATATATACTCTGTTAAAAGTTATCACTGAGTTTATTGATCCATGTTTTATTTATTGTAAGCATGACACAGGTTAGACAACGTGTTACACTATATTAAATACTACATTAATTTGTAGCCTTTGTAAAAAGGTAACTGTTGAACTTGTAAGCACTGAGGCGCTCTAGTATTCAAATAGTTGCCGTCACAATGGCAGTCAATTTTAATGTTTGTGCTGCAGAACATAAGGAAAAGACATCAACATGATATCTCAAGCATTAGCCCCACAAGCATCTAAAGCTTCAATTCTGAATAGTCTGTGGAAGACTGACTTCTTCAGATCTATGATAGCCTATTTTTAGTCTACAGATGTTAATCTTTAGCAACATTTGGGACTTCCTGAATTATAAAATATCCTAAAATAATGTTATGTCAGTATTTTGCTTGAAATTTTATTTCTCATTCAGCTATGGTAAAATATTTATGGACTAGGTGATGGAAATAGCAACAGCAGAAAATACTGATATTTAATATTGATAACCTTTAACATTATATTATTTTACTATCTGTCACAAAGAAGCAAATCAATATAGAAAGGAACTAAGAAAAAAACTCCAAAATCATATTTCAATACTTTTGCTAAACTCATTCATTATATCAACCATCTTGCTGCATGAAGAGGCAAAAGGCAGATACAGCAATTTAAATGAGTGCCAGTAATGTACAAGAATTTAACTTATTTTTTCTTATTAGGGTATTTTTTCTTAATAGAGGGGATTTTTTTTATAAAATAAAAAAATGATAGCTCAGCTCCTGGATCACAATTCAGTACCTAACTGTGACTTCTTGGCAAATTTTGTGGCTTCAGGGTCACCCTGGCAGTGAGCAAAACCAGAGTGTTTTTAGTTCTGCAAAGCCTTGTCTGTCAAGCTTTGTTTTTGCTAAATCAGAAACCCAAATCCATAAGACCACTATGCTTACTGCTGCCCTCCACCAGGAAAACCTTAACTTGAAGACTGAGGTACAAATGCTGCCTGCCATCCCTTATAGATGAATCTTGGGGTATAAAAGTCCCCACTTGTAAAGGAAAATGCAGTTTTCTAAAGTGGCACTATCAGGAACAAAATGAGTTCATTATATTTTAGACCACAAGTCATTCAGTTCATCTCACTAGCCATCTAAAAGAATGGTGAATATGCCATAGTTTAATTTTTTCAGATACTAAAGGTCTAGAACATTTTATCCACATTAACACTTGGTTTGTTAGCCTTCCTTATTTCTAATATTTTTGATTGATGTATCTGCTTAATATTGGAATTATTATAAAAAAAGTTATTTTTTCCAAATAATGGCCCAAGAAAATGTAAAGAATTTAAGAACATTCTATGTGGAAAACGTACTATTTCTACAGCTGGCCAAATTATTTGTGGTGAATAATATTCAATTATTAACTTAGGCCTTTCCTCTGTTTGCAAATTGCTTCTGAACAGACCTTGAATTTTAGTAATTTTGCAATTAAAGTTACTCATTTTTACTAATGTATTCACTTTTCAAAACTGACATTCAATTAATGCAAACAAGTTTCAAACTATGGGTCGATCATAAATGATGCAAAAACACTGAAAAAGGCTAAACTTGCTGCCACTGAGTCACATGGTATTGTTCCTGCTCCCTGACCGGATGACTGATAATTTTTATTGTAACAAATAACTAACAATGAGTAGCAAACAACAAATAAGAAATAATGAATAACAAATGTTTTGTTCATGCCTGAAATTTCACATGTAAAGACAGGTATTCATGTGAAGAACAAATATTCACCAAACAATCATGGAAAGAAAAATAAATTTGCACAAATGTTCACAAATAGGGACTAGCAAGGAACACAAATATAGTCAAAATAGAACAGCCCTTCAAAATTTGAACAATTGTTCTTAAATCCTGTTTTACCATATAAAATCAGCTCTATTAATTACTAACAAATTTGACTTTCTTCCAACCACATTGTATAGGAAGACTTGAAAAGTCTAGAACTTTTAGCAGTGCAAACAAATTAATCAGTAAATATTCAAAATTCCAGATGCATACCTATGTGAAAATAATCAAGGTAAATGTGCTGATCCAGGCAGTTCTGTGAAAAGCTTTAGCTGAAACCCTACATTTACAATGTATTTTAAAACACAGCAGAAGAGCACAATATCAATCCAATCATTAGCTCAATTAAAAAAGAAAAAATGAAACCTCTCCTCAGCTTAATAACTTGTTAGTTCTTGACAAGTGCAACCACACAACAATAAGCCAGTCAAAATGAGTTTTTAAAGCGAGGTTATGCCCTTCGTGTTGTGTTATCACAGTGGTAGATCAAACTGCTGACTTGGACTCTTTCTGCCAGCAGTGCTGTTACTGCCTCTGTGAAGCTGCTGTCACAGAATAGTCATGGTACCTGCTCTCACCTATAGAAAAGCACTAAATTGAACTCAAAGTAGTGTCTTTGTGATATCTTTTCAACAAGTCATGTCCCATTCAGCCTGCTAGTTTATCTCTGTCAGGCTGGGGGCCCAAGTGGTTTGCATGAGCTGTCAGGGACAGGTATACCAACCTGCTCTGTGCTGAGGAGGTAATGCATCTTTCGGGCTTGGTGATCCTTTTTCTTTTCTTTCCTTTCTAGGTCTTTTTTCTCCTTTTCTTTCTCCTTCATCTCTGCAAACTCCTCTAGTTCTTTCCTGCATCAAAACAACTCTTTGTTATTTACAGTCCAGAGGTGAAAAAATATGCTAACACCTTTTTTTTTTAATTCTTTTACAGCTGGTTTTCCATGGCATTCAACGTGCTGCCTTCATCCATTAACAATCAATGGAAATCAGTGGAATGTTAAAATCTACTTGGTACATTCTGCAGTATAGCAGATGGATTCTATATGGATGTAACTAACATTTGGTACCATTAAGATGGTTAAATCTACATTCTATGTGTATTGTACAGTATACCGTATTTATTCATAATTCATTCATTTATATTCTTTAGCTTTTATTTTGAGGAAGATTTTGATGGTATTATTTAAATATTTTGATCAAACAGAAGTAATAGATATTCTGTGCACTGTTTTATCAAAAATCATTTTACATTGAGTTTCTATAAATAGAATTTATTTTAATGTAATAACGTCTTTCAAATGGACATCAAAACTGATCATTTATATTTCAGCTAGTACCTTGTGACAGAGTGATAGATCATGACCCTGAGATAGACCTTCTACCCCTCCTGCCCTTGTGTGAGCAGAAGGGTTAGAAGGAGGAAGGGTAAGCTTGACTATTTGATATCCCTCTCATTGCTGGATCACTGAGCCCTCTGCAGGGTTGAGGATCTCTGCATGGAGAAGGGTTGGGGCATGGGATGCAGGCAGGTGAGCGGGGTCCAGGGGCATACACCTTTCCCTCATTAAATACACGTGAAGTCCTTGGGAAAGACACATGCAATATTAACTTTCTTGGACCTCTCCCTCCTCAGCGTGGAGCCTTTCTGACAAGGGTAGTACAGAGCAGCCACAGTCATGAGGAGTCCACAGCAAAGTCACTGCCGGGAAAACAGGTTGTGGGGCAGGGGTTCCTAGAGCCAGTGTGGAGGGACACAAGGTCTGCTGAGCAAATGTTCCTGTGCCTCCAGTAGTTCTTGGAAGATCCACAGGTAGCAAGAGGCTGATCCCACTGTCTGCTTTGCAGGGGAGCGGCAAGCCCATATTTCCAGTAGAACAATCTGAGGTAACATTTGCAGAGATTTTCTCATCAATGGCTTCTTCACATGGATTTTCTGCAAGAGGAGCAGTCTGGCCGCAAATTATGCAAAATTGTAGAGTAAATTAATATCCTATACTAAGCATAATTCAGTGTTATAGTTCACAGTGCATGTGTATTGAATTATTTTGACCCAGTTAAAAGAGGTTAGTTTGAGAAACAGCTAGTTCAAATTAACCTATGTGTGAAAGACACCAGCTTTGTTCAGTGATTAGGTGAGTACATTCTGGCCTTTTTTCAGAATATGTTACATAAAATAAAAAGTGAAGACAAATGCACAGTTCATATGTCTGGATAGTAAATAACACAGCAAAACGATATCTGGGATCTGATACTTCTCCTACAGAAGTCAATGGTAACAATCCCAGAGCAGGATTTGGCCCCTGGAGAACAAGGATCAAATCAGGCAAATATTTAAGCATGTGTATGTAACTTTAAAATATGTAACTTTACTGATGTGAGTAATCCTACAGGCAAGTCAAGTTACCTCAGTCAGTATTTGCAGGATTGGGCTCCAGCTTTGTAATACTAGCTATTATAATTATCATAATGTTAATTTAATCTACAAAAACATGTGAAATGGTAATAAATGCCTTATAAATATATGAACTCAGTTAAAATAAATTCTTAAAGAAAATATATATTAAAACTGTATCATTTTTATATTTGATTCATGCTACAGTCTTTCAACTTTTCTTTACCAAAATATTAATCCACAACACCTGATAAAATGAGTAAAATGTTAAGTAAATCATGCATGTTTTTTCTTCAAATGTGCAAGACAAAAATAGAATGAAAAGGAAATACATTAAAGGTAGGGAAAGATGTATAGGTCTGTTTCAACCTCTGCAAATATTTTTTGTTGCAGTTTACTGTTAAAGGCTGCTAATACAATATTTCATACAAGGTTACTTATGAAACATACTGACGTTTAAAAATCACCACGCTATGCTTTTGCAGCAGTGTAATTTTTTTCCAACATAAGATTAAATTGCAAAATAAATGAATTACTTAGAGTAGCATGGCCCCCATTTTGCCACCCTTCTCTTGAAAATTGCTTATTAATATGAAAAAAGAAGTTGGAAAATAGCCTCTTTTACTTTATGCATAGCATTTTGGGGCCTCGCAGCCTGCAGACCTGGACTAGCTGCACATTTTAGATTGTGTTGGCAAGCGGGTACAATGACCTTTCTGACCTGCATCTCAAGGCTATTATTAATCGCTAAGTAACCTGGTAAAGCCAAACAAATTTGTTTCCATTGAAAGGATCTCTATCTGTGTCTGAGAATTTGTGCTGTACCAAACAAACCTCATTAACTGTGTCCATTTTTGACAAAGAACTAGGAGTTGGAGAGATTGGCGACCTTTCTTTGTCCTTAAGGTACAGACTTCAGAGCAGTTATATGTGGGTAAATAAGTACTTTTACAAGGAAACTCTTTGTTCTATATTAACAATAAATAAAAAATAAATAAAAGTGCATGTGTTATCAAGTTTACTTTTTTATTTTAGGCAACTTTATATTTAAATATTTGTGCACATATTCTATATTATACATATTTAATACTGCATCTCATTCTTTTTCATTAGATTCTTCCATTCAGCCTGAGTACCATTGTAATAGCTGGTATACTGCCTATAAGTATATGCTCATAACTTTTTCCTATTCTTATCCACTTTTACCCAACAACGAATAAGAAGTTATATTGTTCAAGAGAAAACTGGTGAAAATCCCCAAAGAAAGATATCAATATATGTGTGTGTGTGTATATATATATATATATATATATATGCATTTTATTACAGATTTAATGATAACGAAGGGTAAAATATTTGTCCCATGTCATCAGTTAGATTCTACATGATTTAGAATGAATTATTCATTACAATAATTTGTTCAGGTCAAAAAAAGTTTAGCTCATTTGCTGAAATGAAGTTCAAGGCAATATATAATTTTATTAGAAAGTACTATCCTAAGATCATCACAATTCCTTACAAATAGCCACACATTTTTTCATTTATGTTCTACACGAAACCACTCATGAATGTAAGTTCTTTTAAATAACTATATAATTTTCAATAGATTTTAATATATTTTCAACAGCCTACATATTTTGCTAACATTTTCTATTTAAGTAATATTGTGTGCATAATGTTTACATTACTTTATATATGTCAACAATATTATAATAAAGTAATTACCTCTGAGGCCTCTGTCCTTGAAGTTATCACAAAATGTAAAGTATGTACTAGTCTAAACATTACTATACGTATAGATTGCTTAGCAAAATGATACCAATTTAGATTTATTCAAAAATGATTTACACCCTGAAATCCCCACATGTTCTTTCTAACACACTTTAAAGATTTGATCTTAGTCTCATCGATATCAATAGTAGTGAGATCAGACCCAAGGAATTAAATGAAAAAGACATTAAATATGACTCTATATAATTCACAGTATAATATTTAGGCTCTGAGACTATGGTCTGTGCAATGGGACAGTTGGCCAGTATGTAAAGAGAGTGATGAGACCAGCATATATGTAAAGTACATACTACAGACATTACCTTTAGATATCATACATCTACCAATAACACTGAGATCTACAACCACATGCATATATACTTGCATACAAAAAAATAAAATAATCCAAAACTCACTGATGTGAATGGAAAGACTCCCAATGACTTTGATGGACTTTGAATCAGGCCCTTTCTCCCAACTGTCTCTATTTTTCTTTACAAACAGTTCATTCAACAAGTACTAATAAGTAATCCTTTCTCTGTGAATGCCTCACGCAATCAAGGATGTAAACACTTCATATACTGTGTTACCCCCTCAACCCCAACCTCTTCATTCACAGTGATCAGTATTATAACCTCCGCTTCAGGTCAAAACTTCCATTGACTCCTGTGGGTGCTCCATGTGTGGAAAGGAAATTGAATATGGCCAAATAGAATCAGAGAATCATAGGACTGGAAGGGATCTCGAGAAGTCATCTAGTCCAGTCCCCTGCACTCATGTCAAGACTAAGTATTATCTAGACCATCCCTGACAGGTGTTTGTCTAACCTGCTCTTAAAAATCCCCAATGATGGAGATTCCAAAATCTCCCTAGACAATTAATTCCAATGCTTAACCACTCTGACAGTTAGGAAGTTTTTCCTAATATCCAACCTAAACCTCCCTTGCTGCAATTTAAGCCCAGTGCTTCTCGGCCTATCCTCAGAGATTAAGAAGAACAATTTTTCTCCCTCCTCCTTGTAACAACCTTTTATGTACTTGAAAACTGTTATCATGTCCCCTCCCAGTCTTCTCTTCTCCAGACTAAACAAACCCAATTTTTTCAATCTTCCCTCATAGGTCATGTTTTCTACATCTTTAATCATTTTTGTTGCTCTTCTCTGGACTCTCTCCAATTTGTCCACATCCTTCCTGAAATGTGGCACCCAGAACTGGACACAATACTCCAGTTGAGGCCTAATCAGAGCGGAGTAGAGCTGAAGAATTACTTCTCGTGTCTTGCTTACAATACTCCTGTTAATACACCCCAGAATGTTGTTAGCTTTTTTTGCAACAACATTACACCGTTGACTCATATTTAACTTTTGTTCCACTACGTCCCCCAGATCCCTTTCCGCATTACTCCTTCCTAGGCAGTCATTTCCCATTTTGTATGTGTGCAACTGATTGTTCCTTCCTAAATGGAGTACTTTGCAGTTGTCCTTATTGAATTTCATCCTATTTATTTCAGACCATTTCTCCAGTTTGTCCTGATCATTTTGAATTTTAATCCTACCCTCCAAACCACTTGCAACCCCTCCCAGCTTGGTATCATCCACACACTTTATAAGCGTACTCTCTATGCCATTATCTAAATCATTGATCCCTTCCAGGCCCCACTCGTTATGCCCTTCCAGCATGACTGTGAC